AGCTTTATATTATTAACATTTCCCAGGAGTGATGTTCCACAGTGGCAGGCTGATGTAATTACCAGAAGTGAAGTTGTAAGTCCTATTGAAAAGACCAAGAGATTTGCTAGCGACTTCAAAGAGGTAAAGATTTGTGTGGATTTGCACAGGGATAGAAAATGCAATGGGTTAGAAAATCAGGTCCTCCAGTGTCTTTAATCTTTTGTGGGCTTTATCCAGACATTTTGGTCTACAGGGGATTTAAATTAAGTTGCAAAAGAGACTTCCTAAACTTTCTATCCGAATGTTATATTATGTGGGTTTTATACTATTAGCTTAAAAAACTGACCTTTTCTAATCTTTTTGGATTAATGGCTTGTGGACAACTAATGCTGGCTTAGCATTGGCAAGGAATTTACTTTCATGATGTAGAGATGGACAATGATCTAATAGTGATTTGTCTTTATCCAGGAAATTCACATATATATCAAAAGATGAAAGAAAGATCTTGGGATGAACCAGTAAATGATCAAAAATGACAGGTCAGAATAAAGTACACTGGAAAAGGCATTTGAGAGAACTTGTAATACAAAATACATTACAGATATTCACTGTGAAAATATACAGTTGGGCATTTAGCCTCTTTTTGGTCCTATTTTTGTATTAAATGGTTCTAAAGTAATCGTCCAGGTTTGTTCTGAATTATTTACAACTGATCTTATGCCAGGTTTTGTGATTTTTTTAAAATGGAGGTCACTCTAGAATGTGAAAGAGCAGTCAATTAAGGTTAAAAAAAATCATACTTGTGATTTAACATAATCTGGTGTCCATATGGATATGGAGCAAAGGGATATCTACCCTCAGACCGTGCACTGTGATGAGATGTCCCAGAGGATCCAGTGGTCTGAGGATCCTCCCTGTTGTTTTACAGGTGAGGTAGAAATGTCACTTTTGTAAAATAGTATAAGACATATTTTCAAAAATGCCCAGCATTGTGAAAGATGTCTAAATTGTCTGGACCAAAAAAAAAAAAAAAATCATTTTCACTACAAAGATCACGTCAAAGACAAAATGCATATTTTAAAAGATTTCCAGGTCCCTTTCAGGCCTTGCCACTGTTCAGCTTTTCCCTCTGGCCTCTAGGTTCCAGCATATTTGAAAATCCACCATTACAAGAATTTTATGCAGGTCCAGGTGAAGCATGGAGCAAATTAAGGCATGCTTCAGTAGGCAGATGGCACACAGCCGTCCATTGAAACAAATGTTGTATAATGATTTCCAATGTGCTTTGGTTGCACTCTAAATATATTTGTTACACAGCAACGTATCATGGTTAAGACTGACTTGGTTTTTAACACCTCTGGGGAGGAGCCATCATGATGGGCTGGGGAATGACTATTTACCCTCAAGCAGCCGTGGAGTTGTCATGGACCCCAGTATCTTCAAAAGGGCAGGTAGAGAGGACTCAGTAGGAGCTGAATGAGGCATGGGTTTAAGACCAGCTGTGGGAGGTGGTGTCCATACCCTGCCCTCTGTCTTCAAGTCCTTTGCTGGCCCATCTCTGTGATCTGGGAGTGCTGTAGCCAAGACTGAAGTTAACAGGGACTATAGAATAATCTCGATGGACTGTGAATACAGCACAAAAGGGAATACTTGTTCTCTCTCTTCACACCTAAAAAAGAAAAGTGGTACTTGTGACTTTCTCCCAGCTCAGGCATTTTGTAAACAAAACTGTAAAATTTCTATTCTTTTTGAGTATCCTTACAGAGACATATACCAACTCTATGACTGCGTCTCTCTTCCTCATAGATATTATACCAGTGAAAGGTGTTGACACAGAAGAGGATTGTGGTTGGGCATACAGTACACACCATTCCCTAGGTTAATTTACTCATCGGCATTGGCCGGCTGAGAAAGAGCAGGAGCAGAGAAATACGGCAGATGGCACAGGAGTACTGGGAAGACCATCGCCACTCTGCTTTTTCCAACACAAAATTGCTTCTGCAGATGAAGACTGACTTATAGAAACACTCTTTTAATCAGCATAGGAGAGGGTCCTTATAGGCTGGAATCAGTCTTGTGAAAAAATACCTCCTGCTGTGCAGTGCACTTCCCCAGCTACTGTTCTGCATCCAAGGTACCAAGCACATGTGGAGGGGTAGTGAACCATGTCCCAAGAAGCGTCTTTGGACAGTGCTTCACTGCAAGTACCACCCATTGCTAGATGGTGTTTTGAAAGAAACAACAGTGTTTTGCCAATGCTGGCATGAAGAGACATTTAGCAGCTTTAATAATTAGCATGATGGAATCTAATCTGCAGCTGATTCACAGAAACATCATTACATGGTACTTGGCTTCTCCTTTGCCTCAGTCCATTTTATTGTACCTGTTGCTATGCAAAATAGTGTCAGCTGTTAATGAGGACATACTGGTTCCATTCAAGGTAAATGAAGAGGGGATTTTGATTGTGTCATATTTTCCCTCTGTTTTGTTTCAGTCCTCCAAGTATGGATTACTCTGTCCTTCTCTTAGTTCAGGACAGAGCAAGAATAGTTGTGTTTCACCACAGTGAGCCCCATGCTCTCCCACAGCTGTAGCAAAGCATGCCTTTGAGGAAAGTTAGCACAGCCTCTGAACTGTTTCTCTAACATTTATACTCTGTATAGCTATACTGTACCCATGATTCTTCTCTGTCATAAGCAACAGCATACAGATGACACAGTGGTCCATTTTACCTATATACCCTGTTTCCTCCACTGTAATGTCCAGACCTAAGTCTGGAGCTAAGTAACTATAAAAAGTAAAGTGAGGTGTCTCCTGACATGGGCTGTTTCCTGGTGTGCACTAGAAATGGTTTGTGATGAAGAAAACATCAACTTTCCCTGAGGCAAATGACTGCAGAAGATGCCAGACTGAGGTGATTTAGTCTTGTTCATTCAACCACTGCTTGAAATGAGAAATTTAGTCAGGAGAGTCCACAGTCACAGGAACCAAGTGTCTTTCTGAGGATTGCACTTGAGATTAACTTGTATTTGCTACATGCTGCACAGCTTTGCATAATGGTTATGCATACTGGACAAAGTCAGTGACCAACAACTTCACCAGTAACAAGCAGTAGATTTCCACACAATGATTTTACCCCAAGGTTAGAAAGCAAATTCTGTGACTGGAAAAAAAACCCCACAAACAATATGTGAGAAAATATGCTGGTTTGCTATTTTTTTCTCCAATTGAGAGATGAATTAAGGTTTACTTCAAATTAAAATCTAGACTTTGATTCTTCATTTAAGAAATAAAGATGTTCTCAAATGGATATACGCATAGAAAGCGATAAAATCTGTCTTAAAAGGCAAGTGAGTGAAATTGCCGAAGTAAATCTATTAAATAATTTGTAATACTAATGAACTCCGGATTTAATTGTAGGTACAGTGAAGTCAGCCACCTGCCAGCTTGTAAACTATCATTGTGTAAATCTAATATACAGAGGGTGTGAGTTAGCCGAGGTGCCCTGACCAGCTTCATGGAAGCACTGGGCTCAGTGAAGCAATCCTAGTAGGTGATGAAGATCCAACACTGCAGTCAAGCCCCTCCCAGATGTCAGCAGATTTTTTGCCTGGATTTATTTTGGTCTCACATAATTGGGAAAAAAAAAAAAAAAAAAGGAAAAGTGCTGAAAATAGATCAAGCACAGTTAGAGACCTGCTTTCTACTGGCTCAGTGATAGTTTTTCCTGGGTGTAAAGACATGGATTGTGGTGTTGGGTACACCTGAAGTCAAGGAAGGTACAGCTGTAGAAAGACTGTAGAGAGGAAGTCATTACAGAGGCCAGTGTCCTGAAAGGTGCTCCTGGGCTAAGCACATGGAAAGACTTAGTTTCCAGAATAGCCAAAAAGCTGGGAAGTAACAGACTAAACCCATCCTGGGCTACTACTGAGAGGCATCTGTGGTGGGGACACCTTCATGGGACACCTTTATGTTTTCACCTTCACGGTCTCACAGACATGGTGTATTCATCACCCACTGCAGAAAACTGAGCCATGACCACTAAATGCAAGATCCATGGGCAGGTCCTCTGCCCCATTCTCCAAGTGAGGGGGACACACAGGGGGTATATAATGCTGCCATGCAACCAAGTCATGCATCTGTGTGGTTTTTTGCTTTTGTTGGACCTGTTTTTTAAACCACCTCCAAGAGTGTGAATAAAACTATGAAGACCTGCCAGATAGTCAGCAGAGGTTTCAAAGAGGGATGTTCACCTGTAAGAACATCCACCTGCGAATGCACTGGACGACATACTGCCCTGCCATGATTCTCCAGCACTGGAAACAGAGACCTAGCATGTTGTTCAGATTAACTCTGGATTAGCTCCCTAGGATTATGCAATGCCAACAGAAGCGGTTTTGCAAGGGCTGAATTGTTCACTTGCCTGTTGCCCAGGCAGTCTGAGTCCTTCCAGACATGCTGCATCTCCACTACTCTCAGATCATAACTAGTCAGTAGGGTGCTAGAGAAGTGCTGAAAATAAATACTGGGAAAACATGGGAAACTGTTGAGGTCCTAGGTATAATACTGACATGGCAGCATCAGTCTTGTAGAGTATTTGTTCATGATGTCCAAGGTAAGCCCATCACTTGATTTGGGGCCAATAAAGACCCTGCAAGGAGAGGACTATTGCTTTCTTCTGTAGTGTGTGAGTTGCAACCTGCTTCCTAGGGCTATTTCATATTTTAAGTAACAATTTTCCTACTGCATCATTGTTTCTGGACATGGGCTTCCCATGGGTCTCTTCTTCTTCCCTTTACATACTATTTATTTGTACTGGCTCTCAGTCTTTATCATAGGTCTTAATTTGTCAGAGAATATTGGGAAACTATTTTGAAGCCTCTAACAGTCAGTGGCATGTGGAGGTGACACTCTAGGGCCCTGTCAAGATTAAACATTTACTGCTTGGCTTGTCTGTGATGACAGCGACCTGAATAGTCTTCTCTTCCTATGTAAACTGGCGAAGCTCTGCATTTCAGTAGCTGGGAAACCAGCCCTGTCGGCGGCACCACTCCTCGTTTGTAGTGAGGAGCAGCTTAGCTTGAGAGCACACAGCCTCACAGCAGCACTCGCTATCCTCCAGCACAAAAGTCTTTGATGAGCCCTGCTACAGGAGATCCAGATAATACCAGTGAGAGGACTATTGAGTGCATGCCTTGTCTTCACCGGACCTGGAAACAGCATCTAATGAAGGTGAACACTTCTTCTCTCTCACTGGGGAGATGAGCATTGCATAGGCAGCACAAATAAAAAGATACATATCTAGACACAGAATGGTGTCTGACAAGTTAGGAAATTCAAACCAGCTGTCACCCACCCCTCTTTCCCTAGCCCTGGTGCACAAGGCACTGGCTGAAAAGTGCAGAGAGACACCATGTAAGTCATAAGCACCACTACATTTGTTTTAATGACAACACTGCTTCTCTTCCTGTGCATTAGGATCTCCTCAGACTGTGGTGGGTATTTTCTGCTGTGCTAGGCTTTCATTGGACTCCCTACCCTAGCTCTCTGAAATTGTTAGTCTATAACATTTAATGGAGATGTCTCAGCCGTTTTTGTATTTTGTAATATTTGTACCAACAATGATTAACAGGGTGTATCTATCTTGTATTTGACAAGCTATCAACAACGGTGTTTAGGGGTAGTGATGTCTAAGGACAAGGAATAAGAGTTTTTCAGAGCAGAGCACTCATCTCAGCAAGTTTGTCTTTGATCTTTTTTCCAAAACCTCCAGGTATGGACTCTAACCTATTGTCTGCCATTCCGAGGAAATTAAATTCATCCCAACCATATCCAGGCTCCAAAGCACAGTGACACAGCAGCTTGGAGTGGGGATTTGTGCAAGGAATTATATTGGACAAATGACTGGCTATGTTCACCTCTCTTTTACACAGTGTTTACTATACAATGGATTTTAATTGCTCTTTCACTCATGAGTCAGCATAGCAGATGCAGTCTCATGTGTGCATGCTAACAAACTGACTTCTAGCATCCAACATGTACTCCACAGACTGCAAAACGTTATTGGGAACTACATGTGTGTAGAACCTAGAAAAGTGATCTATGATGTTTAAACCACCATAAGAGATTCCTTGATGAGCTTGTATCTGACACACTATCAGATATTACACCAATTTACCAAGCAGGAGTTTTAAGACAAATAAAAATGCTTTTCTCACACAAGCATAACCAAGCTCTAGAGCTCCTTGCCTCTCCAGAATTTGTGACAGCCAAAGGTATAAAGTAGTTCACAAAAAAATGAAGTCTTGGAAGATGCATTGTGCTATTTAACCATAAGCTGAAAAGATTGAAGGTAGGAGTATCCCACTGTGGAAGGCAGATAGCTGTGGACTTGCCTGGTTCTACACTCTTTCCCTGAACATTTGCTGCTGGCCACAGTGGGTGGAGACAAGTTTATGTTCTTATTTTATAGCCATCTTCCAGGTAAAATACAACACAGAATGGATTCTGATTCCTTGTTGTTGCTGATATCTCATTGCTTGCTTTGAGGGTGATCAGTGTGTGAAGCCAACAGAACTGCAGTGGTATAGAGGGATGCCCTCCAGTTGTGTTGCGGTTTAAGCTAAATATCAACTGGAGCAACCATGCTTTACCTGTATATACCAAGTTTCCCTTAGTAAGTTCAACAGAAAAAAAGTGCTTCACATTACTCTGTTAAGTAGACCATACTGCAGCAGATTAGCTACCATGTCCTGTTCAGAGTAAGTCACTGAGTGCAATGATAGGCAGTCAGCTCTGTACACACACATCATCTGTGTCATTTTGGAAGCAGCACAGAAAAAGCCAGAAAACCAGACAGTTATTATGATGGATGTATGCCAAAAGGCTCACACTCAAATTCAGGCTGTCCCAACTAATAAGGTTTTTTCCCCATTGGTCTGAGGGTACCTATGTGCCTTCCTGGACTCAATTCTCTAAGTGGAATGTGATCCGTGTGAGAGCAGGGAGGTGGAGGCGAGCAGGATGCTTTCTGCTCCTCCTCAAGGCTGTTGCATCACGGCCTTTGAGTCAACACATTTCAGACCTCCCACAGAGAGAAGAGCTGGCTCTTTACCTGTGCAAGTCCCAGCATAATAACTTTGGGTAGCTTTCCCCAAGGCGTTTTGCTGAGGTCATACATGACAGTCACAAATATTTCCCAGATTACCAAGTCTTGTGGAAGTCTGTTGCCTGTTGGACAAAGTTTGTTGTTGGGTTTTTTTTTTGGTTTGGTTTTTTTTTTGTTTGTTTGTTTGGGGTTTTTTTTAATTACTGTAAGGCAGAAGTTAGCTAAAAGGTGATCATACAAAGTGATGTCTGAGTCACTTGACCATGACTTCTTGCATTAAAAGCCAGAAACACAGAGGAATCCCACCTCTGCTTTTCCCTTTTTGTACCATGAGGCTCTTCTTGCAACACCAGCTAAGAAAGCAGTTTTCTGGGGACCTTCCTGAAATGGGAGTTCTCTGAAGGAGATGAAAGATATTTCTGTGTTGTGAGCCTTATGCAGCATCGGGAAAAATGAGGTGTTGAAGGAAGGGTCAAACTACCTGGAAACATAGTAGCAGCAGGGTTTTCTAACTGGTGTAATTTAGAACAGGATTGCGGATACTGGGGGGGGTGAAACAGAACTTGAAAGCTTTGAGTAGGTCACTGACTGTATGTATCAGCTATCTGCAAGGAAACTGTGACAACATTTCTTGGGAGGGACTGTTAGCTGATGAAGACTCAATTTCTGGCAAAGTAGGAAGAAAACCCCAACGGATATGCTGCTTTCTTGCAGAAGATCATATACAGCAGTTCTTTCAACCACGCAGGTGAGACTAACAAGGTACCTGAGCTCCGTATTGACAGCTAACAGATTTCTTAGAAACAGCACAACAGAGTAGAATGACAACAAAGCACTGAAAGTGCGCAAGGCTCTCTTATTTGCCATTCACATGGGATTACACTCCTGCCAACATTTGTTGGAACTTGTATCCTTGATCAGGAATGACATTTTGTCATTTCTGAAAATGAACAAAATTCCTCTGGTGAAGAATTTGAAGTTTAAGCAGAACCAAAAATGTTCAATGCCATTAATAGGGCCCTGGCTGAGCTTTTAGCATGCAACTTTTAGTTTTTAGCAACAATACAGGGGGAAAAAAAAAAAAAAAAGTAAATTAAGAAAGCAGCTAGGAGGCCCCAGAAGGGCATAAACTATGCAAATCTCTGTTCTCCCAGTTAGCACCTTTTTTTTTTTTTTTTTTTTTTTTTTTTTGTGTGTGTACTTATTTTCTACTAGGATAAACTCTGTTTGGATACAGGAAGATATAAGAATTCTTAGGTGGTGCAGGGCACATGTGACCTTGTACAGTGTGGGCCAGGTATGTGCTTAGCTGATGCTTAAATTATTCCAGGTTTTCTACAGAGCAGAAATAACTGGATAACTAAGCATCAATAGGCCCCTTTCTTTTGTTACTACATTTCTTGCTACAGGAAAGCATCCATTGATTTCACCATGACTTCTGCTAAAGACTGAATCCATACAGACAGTGAAGCAGGACCTTCAAGTGGGGAAACAACTGTATTAGTACTGGTGTTCCTAGTAAAAAGCTGTGGCCATGATACTGTCTGGTTGCAGAAGCTAAACAAGCCTGATGTTAGTTTATTTAAGTGTCCCCATGTGAATCCCCACTGCTATTGTGTACAAAGCAGGGAGACATGGTTGAATCCTTGGCAAACAGCAGACCCCTAAAACAGGGCAAATTTTCAATAACCTCATTGTTGCATTTGGACTGATGGACAGGAATGGCAAAATATGTTTCTGATGAAGAAGCCTTAATTTTCCTTGTAAAAATGAAGCTAATACTATGGATCCCAGGTTTATTTCTGTCTTCTGCACTTCATCTACTCTGTCTTACCTATTTTGTAAACCCCCTGGTCACTAGTAAATTCATGCTACAGCTGGGAAAGTGCCTGAATCCTGGTCCAGATGTAGTCTAAAGAATAACTGCAAGTAACATTCTGAGACACAGAACGTTTTCCTTCAGTAAACGGATGGCCAGGTCCAATGCATACAGTTTTACACACAGAATCACAGAATCGTTTAGGTTGGAAAAGACCTTGAAGATCATCTAGTCCAACCATTAACCTAACACTGACCATTCTCAACTACATCATATCCCTAAGTGCTATGTTAACTCAAAATATATGTATATACACACATATGTATGCACGTAAGTATGTATAAATACATGCAAATGTATTTATGCATGTGTTTCTGGTTAGTACATGCTCTGTACATCTTGACAGCCCTGGCTTCCACTTAAGGGCGGCATTTCAACAAAGTATAATTATCTCGTTATGGAGAATCAAGTCACAGTTGCATAGGAAGGGAAATAAAACCAAAAGCTCCTCCTCCTCACTTCCCCTAACAAGAAGATTTTCAGGTTTGAGGCTTCTGACAGAAGGAAGTTGTTATGAGTTGTCTTCCAGGCAGATCTCATATCTGTGTTTGGCTGTCCTGACGGTAAGCAGGCTTGCAGCTCAACTGATTGGCACAGCCAAGTAATTTCATCAGCCTCACTTCAGCCAGCAAGAGGCAAGGAAACAGCTGGGCCTTCAACCAGCCCTGGTGTTTCAGTCCAAACTCATCTGGGACATGCCCATGAAACACATCCCAGAGAAACAGTGAAGAGAAACAGGTCTGAGTCTCCCCTGCTATGGTCCTTACTATTTTGTGGTATCATACATTTGTGCCAACTGTGTAGAAGCCCAAGGCTGGGTATGAAAAGCTTTATTTTTCACCCTGCTTGAGCAGGCTTATGTCAGCATGCAGTGTGTGAGACTAGAATGTCACAGGGGTCACAAGTCCAGCACACACACCTTTTTAAGGATTTTATCAGTGTAAAAACACACTGCTAGAAATTAAGCCATTTTAACTGACATCTTGAGTTGTTTCTCTCAGCAACTATATGGTTTCTATTTTGCCTCAGTGATTCTCTGCACTCAGTTTGACTTCTTTTATTAATTTCAGGTGCATGAAAATAGTGTTTTTCATTCTGGAATAAGAGCTTCCTTCCTATTTTTAGAGGTTTTCTTTTTCCTTGGTCAGTGTATGCCTTTCAGAAACGCAGTAAGTGGCATGAGGGAATAACCCTGCCTGTGAACTTAGAGCTCTTCTTCAGCTATAGACTTGCACTATAATAAACTGATTTTGTTTTATATTTTCTTCAGTTTAATATGTAGACTGACTCTCAAGCTCTCTAGATTCACTGACTCACCTAAGAAGTCCATAGACAAGCTCATAGATTTTTATTGCTGGTGAAGAGATGTGGTGTCTTCCAAAAAACTGCTGATCCACATAAAATAATTTCTATATCTGAAAGAGTCCTCTTTTGGCAAGAAAGAGTACAATAGAAACCCAGCAGTGGCATTAGAAATACTTTCCTTTCATGATACTGTGTCAGGTCCAAACTGAACTGAGAAAGAATTAAACTGTTAACCCAGTAGCTCTTCATTGGAGAGAATTGATGATGTCAGGCAAGGACAATATCTCACACTTGATTTCCTACAGATTATAGAGGCATCTCTTAACATTGAGTCACTTCTTGTCCAAAAATTATGGCTAGTCCAAAGTAACTCCCTGCCGTAGCAGACAATCTGCCACAAGGACTGCCAAAGATGGCCAGATTTTGGACAACACCCAGGAGGGCCAGCAATCAGCTGTGAGTCACTGTATTTTCCAACTGGTGTCTGAAGCAACGGCAGCTTTTACTTCCCCTCTTCTGCTCAGTTTTGGATTTGGTGAGAGTCAGGAGCTGCTGCACATAGGGAGACAGTGCACTTTTGCTGATAAATCTCTAACTGTACTGTTTGGTGACTTTTTTCCTCCAGATAAGACAACAACTCTGGCTGCACATGCAGTGTCTCTTGGGATACCTGACTTCCAGCCTGGAAGGAAATCTACAGCCCTGCATATCACTTTGCAGAAGCTGATGATTTGTGCTCTTATCTGTTATCTCTCTTCATCATTTCCAGACGTAGTCATACACAGGCAATGTGATTTATATAGTTCCGTGGAAGGCGTTATATAAATTAAATGCCCCGTTATCCCTGTTTCTTTCTCATGTGTCATTCTGGTCATTCTTCAAAAAGAAGAAATATTCTAATATATCTCCAATGATAAGCAAAGGCTCCTTGGTCTCTTTGTCTCTCATATACACACACTCATCTGTCTGTTGTGCATTCACAAACTCATTTCCTCTTCGCTCTCTCTTGCATGTTCTTGCACCCTCCTGGAAGTCCTGCTTTCTTACATGTACATTGGTAGACAAAACACAATCAGGACAAAAGACTTGCACATCCTAATTAGCCTGACTGATTTTTACTTGGTCTGGAGAGCCTTAAAAGCTGAAAAGGCATTGAATATCAACAGTGTGGCACTTTATCCAACAGGGGAATATTTGTTTTCATAGGTGAGCTACCCAGTACCAGCAGTCCTGACCTGCCTGGCCACAGGGTGAATTGAGCTGGAAGAAAACACTCTACTTTCCCAAGGACAGGCACGGGTTATCTTTTCTTTAACCTTCCAGTTTGTTTCCCCTACTTGTTTGTTTGGGTTGTTTTACCCTCTACCCATTTGAGGTGTGTTTCTGGTTCAATGCTCCTGTAAAGGCCAAAGGAATTAGCGCTGTTGAAAGAAATCCAGTACTGAATTGCCCTTGTGTTGTTCAAACTTTGTTATGGCTTCAGTTCATTAAAACCAAGAGATGGACAGCTGGAAGAGAGAGAGACCAGCTAGAGGTGGGCACTTGGGGCTGGACTGTGGTAAGTCTTCTTTAGGGACCAGACCTGTTTTCTTTTGTAAAGAACATGATGAAAAAGTCACAGCTGTGAAATGGCAGGCTGAGTAGGAAATGACATATTCCAGGCAAGCTGGAGAAAGAGTGATAGATGCTCCATGCCCTCATTTTACTAAGTGTATCATCTCTGGTTCCTATCAGTGCTGCAACTCAATCTGCAGGTGGGTATGTTGCATCCCTGCCTCACTTCTCCAGTTTTCTGAGCTCTGTTGATTTATTTCTCTACACACTTCCCAGCCCTCTGATGTCCCTGAAGAGTGACCTCAGCAGTTCCCATTGCTGGTGTGGTTGGCTGCCTGCAGGTCCTGCTAGCTGTGAGCATCCCTGAGGGCCTGTGGGCAAGAGTGTTTCTCAAGGTGGAATCCAGTCATGTGTTGCATCCTCTATCCCAAACAGATGGACAAGCACAGGATGAAGACTGCAGTAGGGGAGAGATGGTACCCTCCCAAAGACTGCAAGAGAAAGACACAGCCAGCTGAAAAAAAATGAGGAGGCAAAACCTAACCCTTAGTTTGTTTCATTTTCTCAGAAAACGGAGATCTTCAGAAAGATGAATTTTGCATAGCTATTCCAAATCAAACTTCCCAGGTCTCTCTGGTTACTTAAGCAAAATTATCAAGATGACCTAAAATAGGAGTAGAGTCCTTGAGGCACAGTAGCAACAGAGTGACTTTTTCCTATCAGTTCTCTAAAAGCTTGTTGTTGTTACGACAGTAATTGCAGCAAGGGAGATGATCATTGTAACAGACTGGCCTATTTTTAACAACAAACCAGGACTGAAACTTTTCTCTCTTCTTCGTTCCCAACTGTTATTCTTTCCTTTCACTGTTCCCACATTTAATAATTTCATTACTGAAAAGGCAGGAAAATAGTAGCAAAAGAATATAGAGGAAACAAATGACATAGGGGAAGTTCCTGAAAGAAGAAGGCCTGTTTCTTCCATGTAATCAAAAATTCCAAAAATATTGTGAAAACCAAACCTTGGGGCATCTTTTTTATTTCCCCCAAATTCAGTACCTAATGAAAAGTATTTTGTTTGAAAATCATGCATCACTTCTGTTAAATAAACCACTGGAAAAAAAGTTCTGTATTTTCTAAATATGTGAGTATCTGCTAAAAACATATATTACGAATAACTCAGTGTGACTGAGTACTCCTCTATTTGGAGGGAAACATACATCAAAATTCTTTTGAAGTTATTTCTGTTGGGTGTGTCAGAGTTTACTAAGATTTTTCCAAGGCTCTTTGTTAAAGAATAGCAGAAACCATATAAAATGTAATTTAAAAATAACTACTTACTAGGAAGAAGAGATAGTGCATTCATATACCAGAAAATGGTAAAATTTTAGCAACTCTGAATATCAAGTTCTTGAGTTGTAACTCATTTGCCCTGGAAACTTACTTAGCAAGTCAGAAAAAGCCACATTCAGAATACTGCAAAGCTGTAGAAGAAGTAAGTGCTGACACATTAAATAAAATGCCTCTATTTTTATGTCAAGTTCTGATAACATTTTTTCATTTTCAAATATAAAGATAAAAAGTATTCAGATCTTTCCAGACTTGGCCAAGGCACCTGATTCTCAATGGAAAATATTTTTATGTCTTATGTCAGCACTACTTTGTTCCAAATTAAGAACTGTAGCATTGAAATCTTTCTTTTATGATAGCATCCATTTCTCGCCAGTTCTCTTTTTCCCATAATAGAATCATGTGTTGGAGATGAATGCAGAAGCATTTCAATTCATTCAGCTTTGTACATCAGTTTTCATCTATGTCTGAATGCAAAATTACATAATGAAATATATCTGTTGTGACACAACCCAGTGAAACCCTAGAGAAGAATGAGAACTTGAAACCAAATTTCCCAAAAAGTTCATCTGAATCAGACTTTTTAACTGAAACACTACCAGAAGAGTGGTTATATATATCTAAAGTGTCACCGTAAGCATTTGAGGGTGAAGGCTGAAGACTCAAGTCTCCCTTTCAATTTAACTGACTATTCCTTTCACTAGTTAGTATCTGGAACCTAATGGCAAACTGTTGTGAATGTGTTAGCAAAATTAAGTTCTTGATAGATAAATTAATAAGCTGGGAAACAAAGAAGTATCAGTATTGAAGAAATGCTGGCATTACTCAGACAAGTATGGAAGGATTGATATGAGCAGCTGGAAAAGAGTACCATAAATTGTTAGCAATTGTGCACTTCATGGGGAGCTATAAACAGTGGGGCTAGGTCTGTCTAGATCTCTTCATGACTTTGCACCCCAGTTCAATGAATTCTTGAAGCCCTTATGAAAAGTAATCTCTGGTACGTTTTGCACAGGCACAGGCTGAAGGCATTACTCTGAACCTCAAAAGAAACCTGCTTCCTGCAAGACTTCCAGACCAATGTATTTTCTGTGTAATGTGATGCTTTAGTCCCATTATTTACAGCCAGCATATATCCCTTGTACCTTGGACTTCTCATAACTCCTCTGGTATCTCAGTGCATAACTCTCATGCCCTCCGTGTCTACCTTTCTCTTCTGCTCTTTCCCATAGTCATAAACATTTGGAAATCGGGTTGGTTAGACATGAATACTGACCATGGTTTTTATTCCTCTAACCACCTTCTGTTGCTTTTAGTGTTAGTGCCACCACTAACCTGGGAGGTGCTAGAAGATGATACCTGACCAGAAAACTCGCTTCTCGCAGATGCCACCCTTATGGTTATTCTTCATTCAAGTCTATGGGCATTGCCTCATCTTTTTCAAAAACAGTCACCAATAATTAATAACTCAGTTCCCTGTACCTCTGCAGAGCTCTTTGTGTCATTGCAATGCTACAAAACACAAGTCTCTGTGAACTTGAGGGCAGCATCTCTACCAGGTAAACTGCTCATTAAATAAATAGGAGATAAGCTAAGCTTGCTCCATCTGTATAGTGGTCTCTATATTAGGAGACAAGTCAACAAAATTTTATGTGTACTTGTTCATAAGAGTGAAAGACTATTGTCCTCTCCCTTGTTTTCATCTGCAGTAAAAGGTCAATATCAATTTAGAAGTTATCTGTATTTTGATCATCGCATTCAGGGAAGAGAAAACCAACATTTCTGCTTATCCAAAGTAACAGTAGACACACATCTCACATGTGATTGGCTGCGAATATTAGAGACCCGAGAAGAACACTTTTTTGCCATTACAATAGCTTTTTGCAGCAGCTGGCAGTACCCTCTGCTGTCAAACATTAATGAGAAATAGATTAAAATCAAGGTGGCCCATCTCACAACTTTGTTCTCTAGCTTCAGCACAGAAAGTCGCTTCATCAGGTTTCACTTGAGTACCCACCTGGCTCAAAGCTAGCATAACTGTTCCCTGAGGTCACCTAGATATTTCAGGGCAAAGTGTAGTGGGCTTGGACCTGCTCAGTCCTCATGTTTGCTACCACTCTGGAAATTTCAGCTGACCCATCCCGAGTTTGACTTTCTCACCAGCCAAACTCACATTGAGAAACAGGGCTTAAACTAGTTCTGTCAAGGACTGCCAGCGCTGTCTAAATGATCTGACTTCCTGATTGTAGTCACACATGGCATGCATTCACAAGTTTTCTTCAAACTGGGACTGAGTACTGTGAGAACTGATCTTCACTGAGATCCTGGCATGTACCCTGATGCTATTGAGAGCAACAGTTTCAGTGCTGTTTCTACATCCTTTCTAATGAAATTACCAGTTCACAATAATTCTATTTTGAACAGCATCCTTTAATTATTTTACCCTTCCCCTTTTTTCAGGGCAGAACATTTCCCAGTGAAAGATTATCCTGGAAGTATACAGTATAAATAACATCTCCTGGTATGACAGGCTCTCCAAATAGCTAAGTCAGAAAAGAGCACAAAGAAATTTTCTTCTTTGTTTCTTTTCAGTATGATAATCAGAACTAGTCCTCTCTTCCTCTTGAGTCAGCCCAACAACGTGAGGTAGGCCAGGCTGCAGGAGCTAGCCTCATTCACATTTCATGGGAATCAAATTCTCTTCAGCCTAACTTCTCTCTTGCTTCTTTCTTCCCTCTGTCTTGTCTCTTCAGGATGTCCAAGAGTTAATTCATGGTAATTAAGCCTATCCTAGAAACCCAGTTTAAGAAGATGAATTTCCCCTGCCAAGAGCTTCATTTATGCTATTTTCTTCACCACACCTTCAGTTTATTGCGTAGCTGTTACATCATGAAGATAAGGAGGATGCACCCTCATGTCTGTGACTG